ATATATGTACACAAAACTCACCAATATATATTTTGGTAAGTTATTTTGATGGAATGGCCGATCCGATATTTAACTTTATCGCTAATATTGGCCGATATGATACCATGCCAATAATATCGTGCATCCCTAATTTTAACGTTGTCATTTTTTCATCAAACCTGTTTTAGCTTTATAAAACCAACCCTAAGTATTCTTTCAGACAAAATTGTGCTCATCCTGTAGATCAACATGTAGTCTCTTAGCCTCCTTCACACATGATGATGACCCCACAACATTTCCATTCCCTTTTAGAAGGTGGCTGGACCATTAAAATATGAGAAAACCTTTAATGTGATGACACTGCTATGTATTTAGTACTCCCCCAAAAGGTTTTATATGCTTTCTTCCATGCCCTCAGACATTTTCTTTGACCATCACCACATTCTTCTACCATGGCATGACTCTCTTGGACCATGTCAAGATGGACTGCACGATATCACGTTTGTACCATCAACACATATTATAAAACTGGACCCCACTGAATCCCAGAAGTTGAAGCCAGAAGTGAACAGCATCAGAGTTCAACTATTTCTTTAATGGCAAGTTGTTCATAGAACTGTCTACAACAGGAAAATACAGCTGTTCACAAATCTGAACTATGTCTCTAAACTCATGTAGCATCTCTTGTGGCTATGTAGGGCCTCCTCCTCTGCTCTTCCTCTTGCTTTCTCCACATATAAATATTTAAATTGCTAACTTTAAGTTAAGAGTAATCTTTGAAGTAAGGGCTTGCATATTTAAAGCATTTTGATCATTTTTGGCTCAAACGTTAATCAGCAGTTGATCGCATGTGTTTAGAGCTGGTCCAGTTTAGTGTCAGGACCTCCACAGTTTCAGAACATGTTGCTGGCGACCGGCTGCTCTGAATCATGTTAGTAGAAAATTGTATTTAGGCCACCTGTTCCTCCATAACCTTATTACTTTTCCACCAGAGCACAGTCTTTGTTAGAAATCAGCAGAACCACTGTATTAAGAAAACAAAGTTTTTTATTCTCTGTTTTCTCAAAACTCAAATCTCCAGGATATGAAGTGAACTTGAGTTTATACAGTATACTGTATGTCAGTTGTAATTTAGAATGACAAAATACAAATTAAACATTTAAAAAACACTGCATGAAAGTTACCACTCGATTTGGACGCGAGTACGGGAAATAGGCATATGATCGTTAGGAAAACATCGTTTTGAGCACAGCAGCTAGATGTTTCTTGTAATCAGTCACAAAGTTTGTGCACATCTAAGAAGATGGTTGATTATCATTAATGCATCTTCAGCTTTCATATAATCCCACCAGGAGTTGTCAGCTTCTCACCAGTTTCTAAGAGCCACACTTCAGGCTGGGTTGTAGTGGATCAAATAAATGGTTGCTTTTAAAAGTTTTAAACGTTGCTTTTATTCAGTTTACTGTGGAGATAATGCACCCGGCGTGAGCCAGCCAGACATATTATTATGAACGAACATTTATTGAGTCAGTCAAAAATTGCGTCACGAATAGGGGGAAAAAACAAAAAGTATATTAAGTCGCTTGGGACTATACGTCGCAGGACTGGTCAAACTATGAAAAAAAAAACCAGCGACTTATAGTGTGGAAAATACGGCACTGAACACTGATGAGACATGATGACAAACACCTGGGGTGGTTAGAAACTGAGACAGGTGAGACAGGAGCAGAACACAAGGAAGAGAAAACACAGGGAAGAGCAGGACGACACCACAGACAGAAACCCCACACACAGATGTGTTTAAAATAAATTAACCCCCAAATAATCATTTAATGATGTGGAAACGGTGTTAGAAACATAGCAATTCTAATCCAAATCAGGTGAACAGAATTCTAATTTAAGGTCTCCGATAATTTCCTCGTTTAAAATACTTTAGAGATTAATATGAGAGGTAAGATGTTGTTGTTGTAAGCTCAATCATCCAGGTAGATAACAACAAAAAAGGTTAAATCGTGTCATCTGGACTAGTTTCTTTAAGTGAGTAATGTTTCGTCCCCCATCCAGAGGACTTCCTCAGTCTGTGGCCTGCCAACCAGATATGTCCCATAGGTAGCCATCACTGCTGTGTTTCAAGCCAAAAGTAGTTGGAATCTCAAAAGTAGACTTTAAACACGTGCAAAACACCCATCCAAAACAACCAATCATCATGTACAACAATCAAATGCTTTAGGCCAGATGGCCGACTTGCTACTCACAGAAACAGCCTGAGGACAACCAAGGCTAAAGTGGTTCAGAAAAAAGGTTGTAACAACCAGGTTGTAATCTGGTTGGCAGGCCATAGACTGAGGAAGTCCTCTGGATGGGGGATGAAACGTTTCTCTCTTAAAGAAACTGGTCCAGATGACACAATTTAACCTTTTTTGTTAAGATTTGATTGGTGCTGTAAAGTCAGTGCCTCCATTTGTATGATAACTCACTGTGCACCTCCTACAGCGCACAACTTCCTGTGACTGTTAAAAAAAAAACAACTACTTCTAGTAAAATACTTGTTTTAATCTGAAGGAAAATACTTTAGTATGTGACAGAAAAAAACGTGTTGTGCCACAGTCATTCAAAAGGTGCCAGAATCTTTAAATTTAAATTAAATTCATGTTTTTTTTTAAATTGTAGCAACCTCACAGCATCGTCCAGAGGCGCCTACTAGAGGGAAATATCACGCGGCTGCGAGGGGAAGCCCGGGACCCGAGCTCAAGAGTTCGCTCCCCTCTGGCTGACACCAAAGATGGGCCCGCTGAAGCCGAGGAGAGGAGCGAGAGCACAGCGGAGGACTCGACTGAGGAACGGGAGTCTTTCGAGGAAAGCGAGAAAAGCCTGCGATCAGATGAAGAGGATGATGACAGCGAGGCCGGCGCCAGACGTTCAGATGAGAAGCCCGAGAGCACAGAGAGCTCGACCCACCTGGCAGCTTTAATTATTCAATGCAAGGTATTAAACAGTAAAACATATTCTGCATGTAGATATTCACCCACATTTATGCGAGCTGGAAAGAAAAAGACAAAGACAGCACAGTTGTGCTCGTATGACTCACTGCTTAAAGCTCGCTCTTCTTTTACTTCCCCCTTCGGAACATATCAGCTTGGCAGGACTCAGCTTTCAGATGGGATCAGAATCACAGATAAGTGAGTCACAGTGATTATAAATTCAGCTGGTTCGTACATGAACACTAATAAGATTCACTGCAGGTGACTTTTAGTACAAAGAGGTTGGAGCTTAAAATGGCCAAACTGTGTGGTTTCCAGGGCTAAATAATAATAATAATAATTAAAAAAAAGAGATATAAATCATACAAAAACACCCCAACTTCACCTGATTTGCCAGCACGGCTGTAAAAATAATGTATATTTTTTAATCTAATCAGTTTTCAGGAATAAATTTGTATTCATGCTTTAAAATACTTTTTATAAATGATATTACCTCAAGAACTGAAGTACACAAAAATTTTACTGGTGGTTTACACCTTCATCCACAAATTTTAAATGTTTAGCAACGAAAAAAGGGTGGGCTGAAACCACTAGGAAACTGAGAATTCTGACACTAAAAAAGAAGAACATATTTACTGTCTCACATAACAAAACTGGACTTCATGCCCAAAATCTGCCCAATAATTGTATGTACTGTATTTATGAACAGTCAAACTACAAATCATTCATTTAGAAACGCTCAATAATGTCTTAGTTTTTCTCTGATTTAGCTTAAGCTAATTCAAAGACATGCATGTCTAATGTCAGTCAAACAGTTGTGAAGAACAGTAACATTTGTGCAACCACCAGGCTTAATGAATGGGTAAGTTTGAGAAATGTCAGCATAGCAATGATAAAACACGGCTTTGTTATTGCTTGCCAAGAAGGAGCATTTGTATAAAGAAAATAAAGCAGGTTCAAAAACAGATCTCTGAGGCACCCCACAAATAGAGGTGACAGAACAAAAGTACCGTCATCATTCAAAAGCCCTTTGATTTGAAAGATATGGAGTAAATCAAGCAAGAGCTACACCAAAAACCCTAACCCAATTTTGTAATCAGTCAGTAAGAATAACATGATCAACTGGATAAAAATAAGCGGACAAATTTTAAAGACCATAAAATCGAAATTTCACCTTGATTTAAGTTTAAGGAGTGCTGTCTTGGTGCTGCATTTTTGTCAAATTCCAGATTGAAATGTGTCCAATATGTTGTGCATTCAATCAAATCCAGCAACTAGTTACACGTCTAAAAAATAAAATCTTTTATACGAAGGGCGACTTGAAGAAGGGCTGGTAGTTTATTAACAAAGTCTAAATGAGAACTCTTGAGAAGTGTCCAGATGACACACCAAGTACTTTCCTATCTATCTCTCTAATTACTGTTGCTGTAGTAGTCCAGACATTTGGAAGCTCTTTCTTATCACCCACAGCCTTTAAAGCTCCTTTATGAACTCCTCATAACATTGTTCTTTTCTCAGCTTCCACCATGGTCCATGTCCATTCAGATCTGCTCCGATCACCACTCTCTCCTACCTATACTCTCTATCACTTCATCCAGATCCTTCCAAAATTTCTCTATTGTATTTTTTTCCCTCTATGTCACATCCAACTTGTGGAGCATAACCACTGACAACATTTAGCATCAGACCTTCTACTTCTACCTTCAGACACATCACCCTATCTGACACTCTCTTCACCTCTACTACGTTCTTTGCCACCTCCTCCTTCAGTTCCACCCCTACTCCATTTCTCTTTCTATCCACACCATGATAAAACTGTTTGAACTTTGCTTCAATGCTGCGAGCCTTGCTGCCCTTCTACTTGGTCTCTTGGACAAATAAAACATCTACCTTCCTTCTCTGCATCATGTCAGCCAGCTGTCTACCTTTGCCTGTCATTGTCCCCACATTTAGAGTTGCAACCCTCAGTCCTACATTCATGACTTTCCTCTTCTCCCTCTGTCTCCTGACACATTTCCCTCCTCGTGTTCTTCGACTAACAATGTTCGTTGGCATTCTGTTTATCAACAGAACTGGAGGTGATTGTTGTTAACCCGGGCTTCGACCAGCCTGGTATGATGTCGCTTAGATGAACTTGCATAGCTTTGGTAAAAGTGTTCTACTTTGGATGCCCTTCCTGACACAACCTTCACAACCACCCGGGATTGGAACTGACACAAGAATATTTTGATGAATTAACCTATTTATTTATTTCCATAGTCTAGGGAGTTGTGACGCAGAGGTTAGAGAAGTAGTGGGCCTGTGATTGGAAGATGGCTGGTTCAACTCCCAGTACCAACAACATCAAAACGTGGGTGGGATATAGGTGAAACACCCACACCTGTCTCCACCCTCATTTGCCCCACTCTGGGCTGTTGAGTAAGGCCCTTAACCCCTACCATCTGCTCCCCTGGGCACCCTAGATAGCAGCTCTCTGCTCCACACAGAGGGCTATGGTAGCTCAGTGGAAGAGTTGCATTCTGTCCCAAATAAATTGGACCCAACCCGGCCCCAGCCTGTAGCCATCATTTCCGAACCCTACCCGACCTGAAGGATTAACAGTAATTACAGAGCTGAACCTGAACATTAAGTTTTGACTGCTTATATAGTTATTAACAGTCAGTGGACGCATGCGGCTGAGGGGGCAGAAGATTGGAGCTGAGGGGTTGGTCATCCTTTCATGGCCGTCAAAGTGCATTAAATCCATGCTTCTGCCTGCATTCTGCATTATTCAGACACGGACCCTGCTCTGACATGTCAGATATTTTGGGTTTTTTATTTATTATTAACATTTATTTAATCAGGCAAATCCCACTGAGATCACAGATCCCTTTTGCAAGGGAGGCCTGGGCCTGAAAGCAGCCTAACATGCATGTTTTTGGTTGGTGGGAGGAAACCGGAGTACCCGGAGAAAACCCACGCAAGCATGAGAAGAACATGCAAACTCCACACAGAAAGACCCCAGGTCCAACCGGGGATTGAACCCAGGATCTTCTTGCTGTGAGGCAACAGGGCTAACCACTGAGTCATCGTGCTGCCACGACGGGATCTCACCTGTTTGGGTCGTCGGCCGCACGCCTCCGCTGAGTGCTGCTGAATTTCTCTTAAATTACACCACCCCCTTCTAAAGGAAAGAACAAAGATGTCTCATTTGTTTGAATGTCTTTCTTTACTTTAACTGAACTTTCTTTTGCCTCTTTCAAGGCTGGTCAGTGAGCGGTCAAATGGCTGCGTGCGGCAGGTGATTGTATGGCAAGTCACGTTGCCATATAATTGATCGTCAGCTGCGCGTATCCGCTGACGCAATAAAAAGCCTGACACTGGCCCGGCCCACACATTAAGCACATTATTACGGCCCGGGCTTAATTCAGGTCGAGCCGAGCTCCAGGTTTGGGTTAGAAATGACAGTTCTGCTCGGTGATCTATGGTTGCATCAGGAAGGGCATCCGGCGTAAAAAATAAAAAAAATAGCCAAGTCTTCGTGCGACTTAGTTTATTGTGGCGAACCCTGACGAAAGGAGCTGCTGGAAAAAAACAAAACACATTTCCATAGTCTACTTTTCCATCACATTCAGTGCTTCCTTATTAAAACGCTCAGTGCTTCTTGCTTACCCATTCAGCTGATATTTTTAACCTTTAGAGATACAGAGGGGTTTTAGTGACACCGGGACTCAGACAAAAGACCAGGTTTGTGTCTCCTGATAAGCCAGGGAGGATAAAAGAGGCTCGCTGGCTCGCTCCGTCTGTACTCAGAGAGAAAAATCTAAACAAGATTCATGGAAAGTGACTGCTTATTTTCAACAGTGGGGGTGGACAACCTTTGTTCAAGTGATAAAGTACTGATGTATGAAGAAGAGGGTATTTCTAGAAGATTATCTAAAGAACCAGGATCATACAGTATTTAAATTTTTTGTAATCCATTATTCTATAAATCTACTGTACATTAAAATTTACCCATCTTACTTTATTTAGGGAACAGTCTCCAAATGCCTTGTTTTGTTCAACAACCAGTTCGAAATGAAAGTATAAAAGTTTTTCTTTTAATAACAATAAAAAAATGCTTCAGTTGAAAAGTCGAAACTAAAGCTGATTTAATAAAAAACATATTTCAAAAGAATAACACGTTGCTGCCGATTATATTTTCAGTGGCCCAACTGAGCTTTGCAGTTTTCTACTCTGACATTCACAAGATTATTTGAAATCATATTAATACACAGAGGCTGGATGAGTATTTTTTGAGGTAATAAAAAATAGACAATTTGTAAGATTTAATGTAGGAAAATAAGGAATTTATGCAGTGTGTGGGGGTGGTGCCGTCATGCTGCTTCTCTCACATGCATGCTGAGCTACCATATGTTCTGTGCTTCTTAGTCTTCCTTTAATTATTTTAACACACCGTCTCAAAATATGTTGGAGAGAAGGGGCCTTAGATACCCGTTACTGTAAACCAGCAGTTAGTTGCTCTACAGAAACCGTTTCTGTGAAATGAAATATCTCAAAGAAGTGTAAGATAAAGAACAAAATGTTAATGGAATAAGACCGACTTGCCTGCTAGTATCACTGCTGTTAGATATTTTTCTGGAACGTTCAAAAAAAGAAGCATTATAAAGTTTTAGAAACTAGGTAAAAAAAAATTGAGCTGGAAATTATACTTTTCACAAATGTGTTACACTTAAAAGAAGACATGTAGCTTACCATTGAGACATTAGATATGGAATTTATTGTTCTTTCAAGTATAACTATCAAAACTACTACCGATACTTAAATTTGATTGGATTTGTGATAAAAGGACTTCTGCTTTTTGGAGTTGGTGGTTACATGGCATATTGACAAATGCAAAAATCGTCGGCAGCTGTTCTAGCCGTTGTGAGGCTGCCCGTCTTGTGTGAAGGAATGTGCCGTGCGGTAAGCACTCGGACTCAAATGCTTTGTGAACTGCGCCGTAAGCTGGACGCCATTTCTGAGAATCGCAGGCCACTTGTGGCTCCTGAAACTCGCTGGTGAGAAGGAATCGACCTTGGAGAAGCTACAAGCTCGGTCAGTGCTGACCACAAAAATATGGTCGTATGGAGTTGCCATTGAGACGTACCAGTAGAACTATAAGGCAGACAACAAAGTCCATGCACAATATAAGGCAGACAGAAATCAAGCAGAGTCGGCTTGACCCCAAATAATTGTTATCTGAATTTGGCTCCACTGTGTCGGCCTTGAATTGACCAACTATCCCAAACTCTCCTGGATGTTATGTGAACAAGAAGCTCTGCTCCCCTACTCCACTACTCACTCCCTTCCCGAGGACATCTGTGGACCTGTATCAGAGTTGAGCCGGCTGATAGACACTGCACCATCTTGTATCAGGACTATAGGGGCTATCTGGCAGTGTCCACAGGCAAACTCACCACCTTCGTTGGCCTTCTTCATGCATATGTATTATAATGTCATCAATATGTTGCTATTTCTGTGCTGAGTTAATTTTTTGCAACTTTCACACTGTATCCCATTTAGGACACCGTATGAGATAGAATTTTTTTACACCTCCTCTTCCCTCGTGCTTCTCTTTTCTTATCTAAACAAAAAGGGCAGCGCCTCCCACGAGGCTGCAGCCTCAGACACCTCCGTCTCCCCATGTTTGTTTGTGCTTTACTTGGATGGGCTGTTCTGAAATGTAATTTCCTTGTGCTTTGGCACAATGACAATAAAGCTGATTCTGATAAAAATACATAAATATTAACTAAGAAATACTATAGCCTCCTCAAGGGCCTTGCTCAATTGTTTGCTTTCATTAAAATAACTGAGCAACAGAGGAAAGTGAAATTTTGAATCTCTTCCCTTATTCTACAGTTTTAATCCATTAAGGTAAAAAAAAAAAAACCTTTTAAAAACAGGGTCATACTTAACAATGTTCCTAAATTTAAACTAATCAATGTTGTTTTGAATCCTAATATAAAAATACAAGGTTTCAAAAGGATAAGAAATTTATTACCACAGACATTGTTTAAAATGAAACCATACATTAATTAAAAAACAATGTAGCTCCAGACCAGGAGCACAAACCTCTAAGATCAACACAGTCCTCATGCACCATTGAACGGAAAGGTTTATTTATATTTGTAAAGGAAAAGCAACTGAGTATGTTCCATTAATGCACACCAGACAAAATCAATTTTGAAAAAAAGTATGTTAGTTTAATTCTTGTTTATTGTGCTGTGAACCAATCAACACATATTTTGTTATTAGAGTGGGTTTCAATGAAAGCACTGAGCTTAAACCTAAGACTAAATTAAATCAAAAAGCTCTTGAGCTGATTGGAGATGCAGGACTGTCTGGTAATTATTAATTAACACCACTTTTCACAGTCATTAGATCCACTGGTGTAAATGAATAGTGATTAAAGACACAAGGAAACGATGTCTGGCATTCCAACAAAAAATACAAAGCTCTTATAACTGCTGTGCTTTTTAAAAAAAAATGCCAATGTGAATATATGACTCGCTGGTTAATATTTGATGCTCCAGTGATGCATAAATCTGAACAAAGTGCACACAACAAGCAAAATCAGCATTTTCATCATCTTCTGTTTGCAACACGAGACTTAACATAAGCTAAAAATCCACAACAAATCAGGATATTTTCAATCGTACACAGAATCTTCGAAGCTGGTTACTTTTTAGCTTAATGTTTAACTACTGGGCTGCTAACTCAGATACCTGCAGCTACTTATCCATAGGAGCAGCAAAGCATTCAATTGGTTTGGAAAAATTCCACAAATAGGAAGTTTTTTTTATTTTTATTGGGGACTGCCAGAAAGGCAGCCCCTATTATTATCCACCTGCAAAGGGTCTTTCTCTTTTTTCAACTTTAATACAGCCCGAACCACATTGTGTACCCCCACAAATGTTATATCAAAATGACCAGCTCAGTGCTGTCATGTGTGCTATTACTTTTATTGGCATTGCATGGCAATGTAATTTGCAAACAAAGACACCATTTTTCTCATACAAAATGCCTGATGGAACTCTTAACAGTCTCTAACTGTCACAGCTCATGAACAGCTTGTTGGATTTGTTTGAAATGGGGATGCACGATATTATCGGCACGGTATCGGTATCGGTCGATATTAGCGTTAAAGTTAAATATCGGACATCGGCCATTACATCAAAATAACTCACCGATATAAAATATGCTGTTTTGGTATAGACAACCCAGTGACAAGGATGCCTGCAGCGCCAGCACAACGAGACGACGTCACGTGCGCTACCTGATCCGATCACAGCCGAGAAGAAGAAATTAAAATGTCGGCGGTGTGGAAGGTTTTTTTTTTTTCGTTGAGGATGTCGGATTCCAAAGATTTTTGGACTATGTTGAGCCTCGCTACATCCTCCCCAGTCAGATATATTTTTCCAACGTAACTTTACCCGCGTTACAAGCCGTCATTTCCGACATTATTGAGAAGCTAATAGCTGATAGTTCTTGGGTGCGTTTTACCACATACATTTGGACGTCAAGTGTTAGCCACGTTAGCATGATTAGTCTTACGGCACAATGGATAGACAAAAACTTGGAACTTAAAAATGCTATCATTCTGGCACAGGAGTGCAGATGATCCCACACTGCAGCTAGGAACCTGGAACAAGGCTCCGCAAGTGAGACAGCATTGCAGGTGACTAATGCTAATAAATAACATTTAACACTTTCCATGTAATATAAGTTAAAGCCTTATACTGGCTGTTATTGAATATATGTCACCAGCTCTTACAGCTGTTACACATTTTTTGTAGCAAATAAGCCTAAATAAGAGAGAAGGCTATGTTCTGACAAAGGAAAGTATATAAAAATATCAGTATCGGTTATCGGCCAAATAAGTTTTAACATATCGGCATATTTTATATCGGCCAAAAATCCAATATCGTGCATCCCTAGTTTGAAACTCACAGAAAGTAATCATCAGATGCATCTCTAGAATTGATTAACATTAAGAGCCATTTTGTTTCAAGATGGCTGCCACAGCTACCTCAGAAAACACAAAATTGACTATAACAGTCATTCTTTGAGATATTGAGCTGAAATTTGGTATGGTCGTTGCTGACAGCGAGTTGTGATGCATTCCTAATGTAAATCAAATATCCAAGATGGCCACCTGAGCTAAAAAAAAAATACATTACATCAGTCATTTCTAGAGATATTTAAAAGCTGGTGTGGTGGTAGCTGAGAGCAATCTCCAAAAAAAAATACTGACTTCAAATAAAAATTCAAGATGCCCACCAAATCTTAATTTTAAATGGCTTTAGCTCAGCTATTTTCACACATATAGAGTTTAAATTTTGTGTGGTGGTAGCTTAGAGCGAACCAAAACACAGTACTGTCAAATCCAAACAATGGTCACAACGTTGCAGTCTAAAGTTTCTCCTGGAACTTTCTAGTATATCTTTTTTATTCAAAGTTAACTAACTAGTACTAAGTTAGCTAACAAGTACAAAGTTAACTACCATATTATTTGGCCTATAAGTCGGAGGTTTTTTGCATAATTTCCATGCCCTGCGACTTATATGGCGAAGCGACATATTTTTGTTTTTTTCCCCCCATATTTATAAACCAATTTTTGGCTGAGATATGTAATTCTGACTGAAAATATTGAACACTACCAAAAAAGTCCGTGCTCAATAATCCAATCAATATTGAACACTACCATTTTCAGCCTCTAGATGGCACTCGAGTAGTATGGCATGCCGTTGTGTAATGTAACAGGTAAAAGTGGCTATTAATGACATAGTCGGCTTGCCATAGACTGCCACCGTTGTCCAGCTTGCTTGGAGCAACCGTCAAATCAGCTTAATTTTTCTGTGCCGCTAGTTTGACCATTGAAGTTCATTTATTAAGTAAAAGTTCAACTGAGACGCACCTTTGTTATAAAGTAGAGCAAACAAGTAATTGTTTTAGGCTCTTATTTTGTTAAATTTCAAAGAAATGTGCAGCGTTCCTCCTTTCTGATTTCCTCCCTCAGAGTTTGCTCCTGGAGCACCAAGGCAGTGAATACTTTTGAAATGCAGCTGATTTGACCATCAAGTGTATTTATTAAGGAAAAGTTAAAAAAATTTGAGCAAACAAATAATTGTTTTAGGTGCTTATCTTGTTAAATTTAAAAGAAATGCACAGCAAGTCCTCCCATGCATGCGTCTAATTCCACGTATCGGCTTTTGAAATGCAGCTGATTTGACTGTCAAAATGCATTTAATAAGGAAAAGTTAGACTGAGCCACACCTTTGCTATAATTTTGAGCAAACAAATAATTGTTTTTAAGTGTTACTCTTGTTAAATTCTTGTTAAAGTCCTCCTGTGCACGCGCCATTTGGCAGGCAATTGATTTTTGGCACAACACCGGCCCACATTTCTGGGTTCGGACACATTTCTGGGTTGTCAGCGGTGACGCGTAACAAACATGACGCGTCAGCGGTGACGCATAATAGATGCAACATATACAGCAAAGCGACATATTTATGGATTTTTTTCACTTTATTGGACATATTTGGACTTATGCGACTTATAGGGCAGAGTGACGTGTACTGCGGAAAATACGGTAACAAATACAAAGTTAACTACAACTTTAATTAGCTGTGACAGTTTTATGAGTTCATGGACAATAAATGGACTGAGTAAAAAAGGAGAAATCAGTATTTTTTAAAGGCTCCCCAGAGCTGAGAGCATGCGCTTTTGTGACAAATTGTTTCCTTGTGTGCAGCAGTAACAGAGTGAACTGAAAAATCACACTGTATTAACTCCAAAATCCCCTTTCTGTCTCCCGCACAGTGCTGCGAAACTGAAGTCAAGGCATCCATCAACACAGGCAGCATACACAACCACATCTCCACCTCCTGCTGCCAGAGGCTGGGGTAAGAAACACCTGGCTCTATAAACGCTAACACTTCTACCACACCCACTGACAAGCTCCAAAACGCAGCATCTTATGAAGCTTTTACAGCCAAAGCAACTGCATGCAAATACAGCTCAAATAAATATGTTTGTACCAGGAAAAAAGGTAATAAACAATGCAACAGTAGAAGATTTTTCATTAAAAAAATTAGCTTGAAAGCAGAAATTTATTAACAGCATGTCGGCTGTTAAAGCAAATTTTTAGTCATGATGTTATCCATCTTGAGAAAATATTAAAATGGATAACGCAGCTCAGGTTTTATAAACCCACTGGACTAAGAGTGTTGAAAATGTTTCCTGATTTTAATTTAAAACAATCTCAATGGTAAACGATAAAATGTGCTAAAACACAGCTTTTTCTTGTTCCTTCATTTTTTTAAAGTTACAGCTGCATCAACTTATGACAAACATTTTATGGTACCATTTTACATTAAGGCTCTTCTTATAGATGGCTAACAAATAGTTTATCGATATATTATTAATTCATTTATGAACACTTTATAAATCATTAATAACTGCTTATTATGCATTAATTAAGGGTGACAGAGAGACAAAATTACCAGTTTCTTGCCAAATAGTGAGCCAAATCTGTTCACCTATATATTTCAATTCAATATTATAATATTGTACTTTATCACCGCATTACAAGTATACACAACTAATGTTATATCTTAAAAAAAAGGTTTACAAATGCTTATGGTGCTTACAAGGCAGTAACTTAGTCTGAAATGTTTAATATAACAACTCTAGATGAACTATGTAGATGGAAGATCTGGCTCACTATTTGGCAAGAAACTGGTCAGTTTTGTCTATGTCACCCTTAATTAATGCACAATAAGATGTTATTAATGCTTTATAAAGTGTTTATAGATTAATTAATTACAAACTATTTATTAGCATTTATAAGGGGAGCCTAATTGTAAAGTGGTACCCATTTTATTATCAAGCAACTCTAAATAGTCTCTGTGTGAGTGAAAGTGTGAATGGTTCTCGTACGTCCCCATGTCCCAGTAAGGGGCTTGTGACCTGTCCAGCTCCCCTTGACCCTGAATAAAAACAGTGTGTAAAGAAAATGGATGGAAAGATGGATTTGGACATACAGTAAATCTGTTGCTGCAAAGCTGCTAGAACAGTTGCTCCAACCTTGACATAATTGAAGGTGGTGTGTTTTGTTGTGTGTGCTTTCAGACTGGTGCCCAGTAAAGACAGTTCAACTTGTGGTGTTGGCAGTTCTGTGACAGGTCTGCAGCTGCAGCTGGGCAGCCAAACCGTCAGGTGCTCAGCCCATGTGAAAGGTAAAAATATCTGCTGCAACATGAAATTCAACATTTTGAAAGTCTTTTTTTAAGATTCCTATCTGAAATCTGAGGCTGCACTTTAGCTGTGCAATTAGCTAACGTGCTAATATCAGCTAACGGACTACTACAACTCAAACACAATGTTTAACTTTTATTTTTAATTAACACACATTTAATCCTTCATACCATAAAAATACCTAAGTACTTGTAAGTGAAATGTGAGTAAAAATAACTTACTGTGATGGCTTCCTGTCCTATAATCACTATAAATAAATGTTGGATTATCACATAGGTAAACATGGTTATAAGTTTCTTGAAAAACAAAAAAAATAATCTTCAGACTGTTGCAGGGGCCGCTGCAGTGTAGAGGTAGGGCAGCCGACTTGGCGCCAGAAAGTTGCAGGTTCAACTCCCTGCCATGACCACATGTGGTGTCCCTGAGCAAGACAACTAATCCCTAACTGATCGGCATCTTGTTATACCACACATGTGAGGTAGATGGATTATTTCGACAAAGGAGAAGTGCTCATTAACACAGATTTACACAAATAAAAGAGTTGTGTTTACATTTTTGTTCAGTACATTTATTATGTGTGAAGCTGAATGCTACAACACTAAACCTATTGTTTTTGTTTCTTTTTAATTACAATACACTGATTTATCCTAAATTCACACCCAACACAATTCTCAAATGCGAGAAGGAGAAGAGTGCAAAACCAGGTCTCTCTCGTAAATGAGTCCTCAAGGCTCAGTGGGATTAACCTGTATAAATAAAGGTTGAATGAAAGAAGAAATAAATTCCTGCTAGCTGAAAGTAGCAAAATGGTGACTAAAAGTGAAAATGATCCAAAAACTAACTTAAAGCAAACATTTCAAATAGATAGATAAACGCTAAAAGTCACAAAAGGCTTAAAGTAACAAAATTAATTCTAAAGGCAGGAAAAGAAAACTAAAAGTAGCTAAAGGCTAGCTAAATATAACAAAAGGGTAGCTAAAAGCTAGAAGTAGCAATACGCTTATACAATACAAAACAACAATTTCCTGCAGGATCATTAAAGTTCTATCTTATCTTATCTCTTATAATAACAAGAAGCTAAAATCGGCAAAATGATAATGAAAAGTATCAAAACGCTAGCTAGAAGTAGCAAAAGGCTAGCCTAAAGCAAAAAAATAAAAAATAAAAAATTAAATACTAAATCAAAGTTAAAAGAGTTAAAGTCTGGCTAAAAGGTAAACGTAGCTGAACAGAAGCTAAAAGCTAACAGTAGCAAACATCTAGCTAAAGGCTAAAGTAGCCGAATGATTGTTAAACACTAAAGCTAAACACTTATCAGGTCTCTCTTATAAATGAGTCCCTGATGTTTAATGGGATTAACCTGTATAAATAAAGGTTGAATGAATGAGTACAGGCTGGGTATAAAACTGAATTGTACGGAGTTTTGTACAAAAATTTGGTTGTTTCTTTAAAAAGGAAAAAAAAAAAAAGACAACTAAGTGTAATAACACATTTATAATACAAACCAATAATTCATTTTATATCTCAGAGATGTTCTAGATTAAAAAAAAAAAAAATTCCTGTGTCTGAATAAAATATGAAATATTAGTATGATGACCGGTTGCCATGGTGCCAACAAAAATAAAAAAACATGTATCAAGTAAACTTAATGTGGAGAAAATACTACTTTTGCAGAAAAATTGTGACTCTGACGTTGTTTTCCTAGACCTTCATGAAATAATTTGATGACAAATGGTGCAGGACCTTAAAAAGGCATAAAAACTTCAGTCTATCATCTAAATTTTGTTGCATCACTCATCTCTGGAAGCAAACAGCAACAGTTATTTTTATCGTTTAAAAAGAACAACTCTCCTTGTCTGTTTTCTCTGAGATTTCGTGGCGTGGATTCTGTGCAGGAGAGATTTGTGACGAAAAAAGTGCGGCTAAAGATTTAGTCAATTGCTTTGTCACACATGAACTTAACTCATTGTCCTGAGGAATGCCTCTAATTTAGTCCTTCAAATTCAGTCCATTTCCCGACTCATTGATATTAACGTTGTTAATTTGACACTAAAAAACTCACACTCGTCTTCACAAGTACAAACGCCTTTCATTATCACAGGAAGGAATATTTTTGTAGCACTGATTTCAGTAGAAGTTCAGACCAATTTATGCATGTTCAGATAAAGTTGTTAATAAAGGGAAGTCAGAACGGCTTAAAAAAATAAAAACTCTATTTATTATTCACTCTATTGTTTCCTCTGGGCTCTTATTTGTCCTCTTTTAGATGATGAGCCATTCGAACTGTGCCTGGGTCTGCAGACTCTGCTGGACCTTAAAGTAAGGCCCTCATTTACTTTAAGAATATATTTTAGTCTTACTGTGCATGTCTTGGTGTGTGTATGTGTTTAAAAAAGCTGCTTATCCTGGAATTAGAAGAGCAAATTTTTGGTGTAATGTGAGGAGATGAGGGTTGTTCGAGTGGTACAGCCTGCTCCATGTGCAGATAAACCCAGAGAACAAATTCAGGACATTCTGAGATGTGAGTTTATGTGAACATTAAAAATAATGATATTGAAAGCCATAGAAAAGCCAACTTGTCCATTTGAAGGTGATGCTTCTTTCAATGTTACATGTGTTTTGTCCTCTTGTGTTATGAACAAACTTATTAGAGAGGGAAATTCAGGGTGTGAAAAAAGAGTGCTAACTCGGTTAATCTGCCCAAATCTTTCTGAGAAAATATATTTTTCAAAATTTCACAGTTTTTCCAAAAAGAAATATAATATGATTAGTTGCACACAGAACGGGGGGGGGGGGGGGGGGGGGAATTAAAATGTATGAAAAATTGACATTTTCTGCTCTCATAAATCACAATATCAAGTCATTTATAATAATACAGGAAAAACATCTAGAGAAGTAAATATATTTTCATTACACTTGTCAGCTTTTGCAACTCTGACCTGCAGCACTTCAAAAATTTCCCTCATCAAACACTGTATTGAATCTCTTGTACAATCAATATTTATTTGATAGGAAAAGGATTTCACTTCTCCAGAGAGTTATAACGATGAAACAATAATAAACTGCATTTCTCTTTAGCTCTGAAAAGCTTTATAGCTTCATAAAAGTTATTGTTTTTGTGTGAGTTTATTACTAAGGTTCAACCTTACTGCTTTACAAACCATTATTTTCAGTATTAGTAAGAAAATCATACTGTACATATATATTAGGGATGCACGATATTGGATTTTTGGTTGATATCCCAATATGCTAAAACATTACCATACCAATTTATTTATAAAGCACTTTAAACAGTGACAAAGCACACCAAAGTGCTGTACAGGGACAAACAGAACAAGCACATAGCAACATTATTTGGTCGATAACCGATACCAATATCGATATTTTTTCCCTAGACTTACTTACAGAGGCTACATAGCTTTATCTGCTGTGATGGAGACTAGTTGGTGAATTTCTTTCAGAAGAGAGTTTCAAAAGTACCTTAAAACTTTTGTGGGGGTTCTAACATTCCTATCATGAGTTGCAAAGTCTTGCTGTATTTTTTGCTTAATTTTTAAACATGTTTCTAAAAGTTGTGCAACAAAACTTTCTCTCATTGTCCTGGGCATCTCAAACCCATCTTGGGCTGTTCTCACTTTAGTTTTAGTAGTTGGAGAGCATTCCAGCTGTATTTTGACACCTGCACAGGAGCTCTCTTTATGACAGAAATCATCCCAGGTTATGGTTCCAAATGTATAAATCTTACCAAAATGGTCCAAAGCTGCACCCCTTCAATTCAAGTTGTACTCCAGTAGATTACAACAAAAACAAGGGTGGGCTGAGATAAGTACATCATAGGCAACAAAATAATGTGCACAACCTAAAATATAGTTTTGAAAGACAAATACGCAGACAAAGAAAGTGAGTTTCAGAAACTGTCTGTACAAAATGTGGCCATATGGCATGTTAGTCATAAATACTCAGAATTCAGTGAGCTGCCACAGAAAATTTGCACACTTTAAAAAAAATTATATATATATATATATATATATATATATATATAT